TCCTTAACAAGCCATACTGTACATTGGAGTCCTTGTAAGATGGTATCCCAAAAGCAACTGGAACTTGAGTTTATAAATTTATAATTGAAACAAGTTATTCTTGAAAGAGTAACTAGGCTGGCAGAGTCTAACCTCTCAATGGTAGACTGGCATTTAATACAAGAGATGGAGCCATCCACAAACTGAGAAGAATGGGATGCAGGGAAGAACGGGATGCTGAGATGAAGCCACCCACAAGCCAAGAAGATAGGCAGCCAAATTCCAAAAAACACTAGCAATTTCCAGAATTTAAAACCCTGAATCATGACGGGACACTGGTAGAATTCAAGTTTATCTGGTACATGGACTACTCTCACAGAATATGAGGTCGAACTGTAGGCCTTGTGTACATCCTACTTCACAAATGAGTCTGCCAGATGCGCTAAGCCTATAGGCTAAAGATGATGCTCCAATGTTGTGGAGAAACCTCAGGCGACTGTCCAGGCATCTGGCTATTTCTGTCAACTCATATTTTTTTGGAAGTTGTTTGTTTGCACTTCCTGTTTTATTAGGTATTATTATTTCCTTCTTGGGTCTCTGAGGGAGTTGAAGATTAGATAGTTGTACAGTTTTAGATAGTAGTTACAGTTTTCCTTGTTAAGAAATTTCAGAAAAGAAACTCACTGAGGAGGTATAAAATGTAAACGTTTGAAAGACATCATAGGATAGTTTTCTGTTGGTAATATAAGTTAGGATAGAAAGTGAATTAGTTACATTTTGGACTCACCAAAATAGAATAGATAATAGAATATTTTCTCTGAATTTGTCAAATGCAAATGTACTAGACATTGTTGATGTATTTATTGCCTAGATATATTGTATATAGTTATTGTACTTATTGTATATAGTTTTTCTTATATTAGTTTTAACTTTTTTATTCTTTTTTATTTTTATTAGACAAAAAAGGGGAAATGTAGTGATATTTTATTTGTATATTAATAAATAATGTTTGCCTGGAGATCAGAGGTCATAGCCAGCCATAACACAAAAGTCAGGCAGTGGTAGCACACTCCCTTAATCCAATCACATGTCAGGCAGGGTCTCTGTATTCAAGGACACACTAGAGAACAGCCAAACGTGGTAACACACGCCTTTAATCCCAGTGCCAACCATAGAGACCTGGAGGTCTGTACAGACGGGCAGTGACAAGGAAGTGAGGTAGCTGGGCTAAGAGCCAACAAGAGGGCAGACAGGAAGTAGCTCTCTTGGGAAGCTACAACAGTGTGGTGAATTAAAGCTAGCTGGTGTCTCTCACTATTTCCCTGATTTCTAAGGCTTTCACCCCTATATTTGGCTCTGTGTTTCTTATTTAAAAGACAGTTTAGAAATTCATCTACAGACACCTTTATATTACTCAATATACAAGGAAGGCAGTGTGGTTTACCATGTCCCTGCTCAAGAATTAGATCGTGAACTTACTTCTAGCACACAGCGAAGGATCCAGTGTCTTCAGAAATGCTGAAACACTTACTCATCACCCCGCACCTACTTTTGTCAGGGGTTCTGCAGGGTTTGACTATGATGCTCAGACATCCAGGACTTTGGAAATTTGGGGTCTTTCAATTCCTAGAGAGTCTCAGCTGTTAGAGCAAGGGAGGTCAAGGCCATCCTTGACATAAGAGGCCAATCATCAGCTCTGCAAAAATCCTTCTCATGAACTAAATTTCCTACACCCAGCCTCTTCCATGACTACTTTGGTTAATGTGAAGTCACAGATGGACTCATATGACAAACTTACAGGTGTCACACATGTCTCTACAATGCCAAGATTCTATTCTGGACCAACCCTCATCACCATGCAATGGTTTAAAGCCTGAAGAGCAAGCAGGAAGAGAGTAGCAGGGGCGGGGTGGTGGTTCTCTCTCTCTCTCTCTCTCTCTCTCTCTCTCTCTCTCTCTCTCTCTCTCTCTAGTTCTAGGGATTGAACCTCAAAGCTCACACATGCTAAGCAAGTGTCTACACTTCCAAGCCCCCAAAAACATAATCTGAAGGATAATTACTTCTTTTTCAGTGTGACCACACTCCAAATCAGTTCTCAAATTAGAGTTTTCTTTTTTGCCTCTGACACACTTTCTGATTGAGATATAATTCATATCATAAATTCATCCTTTGAAAACGTACACTTTCTGGGTTTCAGCATAGCCACAGCTGTGTACTCAACACTACTATCTAATAATAGAGTATCTGCAAAGCCTGAAAAGAGAAACTGATGCTCATTTAAGACAATTCTTCTGTGCAAGCCATTCTATACTCTCAGGCTGCTGACCCAGACAGCAGCTATCCCTCCAAGGTATTTTTGTATTGACCTGAAAACTAGGCGGTAGTTCAGGGTAAAAGGTTGGATCGGTGGCCAGAACAGATAAACTATCACCAGCATCCACTTTTGAGAGATGGAGGGGAAAACACCAGAACAAAAGCAGCTGCAGGAGGCAAGTCCCGGTGTCCTAGAAATGCATTCACTTCCATGCAGAGCCCCAGGAAAGCAGAAATGAAAAAGGACCGGACCACGAGGTCAGGTGCCCTCAAGTCCAGACTCCCGCTCCTACACACCTGCTCAGCCTCATCCTGCTCACGGCAAGATGCTTACTTCTCTGAGCTTCAGCTCTCTCACGTGCAAAATTTGGTAGCACCTGGGATTACTGTTAAAATGCCTTCCAGCTCTGATGGTGGTGTGTCATATTTAAGAGCAAATCTCTTAGCTGAAGGACAAACAGGTCTTGATGGATTGGAAACACCACACACACACACACACACACACAGAGAGAGAGAGAGAGAGAGAGAGAGAGAGAGAAATCCACTGAGACTAATTCAGGAAGTAAATAAATGGGGAGGCCAAGGGAACCCACAAGTAGAACTTTCCATTTAAGGGCAAGAGATGCCTTAAACACCTGTAAGGCCCAAAGCATGAAGAGGTGTGGTGGGAAGACAGACGACAAGCAAGACAGACAAACAGGAAGCGTTTAGTGCTGACAGTCATGTGGTACATGTGGAGCCTTCAATACGTGGCAATGGTGAGGATATTCAGCCGTGTCCTAGGTGGTGTTACCATTGCTGATAAAACACCATGACCCAAAGCAAGTCCTCTGCAAAACTTACGCTCAAGTCTAATCTACCTTGTGAAGTGAAAGGAAGATTTAAAAAGAAAAACAAAAGAGGTGATGAGAAGTGGGGTCTTTGAAAGATGAATTAGGATTAAATGAGGTAAAAGGCCGCCACCCACCCACAATTTAGTTAGTTGTTTATTTGTATATTTGTTTCCTTCCTTCCTTTTTAAAAGTTTTTTCAAGACAGGGTTCCTCTATGTAGCCCAGGCTGGCCTTGAACTCACAAAGATCCGCTTGCCTCTGCCGAGTGCTGGGATTCAAATGTGTGCCACCACCGCCTGGCTGAAATGCAGATATTCTGAAGTGACATGATTTTAACATAATTTCTTATCGTACATGGGTGTGGAGACTTAGTGAACCTCTTCACTTGTTCCTCTTCCCAATACGGTTACACCCATTAAACCCTTTCTCGGCTTTTCACTGTGCTCATCATCTTCTTGAGTAGTCCGTTGACTGGGGGCCGAGCCTAGCCTGTTGGGTTGCTAGGGCCCAGGATCTGACCCTGGAAACCCTAGTAATCTAACAAGAAAGCCTTACCGGAAGTAGCCTGTGAACCTGGACCAGAACTAGGAACCAAAATAAGGCTCTTGTTCAAAGATAATTTACCCAGGCTAGCAACAGAAAACGGACTAATGTACTTCAAAAACCTTTCAAAGTGAAAAAAATAAATAAACTGCATGATAGAATAGAGCATTTGGGGGAATTCCTAAATCTGAAAAACCACCTCAGAGTAACCAAGGCAACAGCAAAGTAAAACTAACTGGAAAACCAACTCTTTACTCCAGCATTAAAAAGATTGGGCAGCAACTATGATACGAAATTATGTTAAAAATGATGCTGGGGGGCCAGCAGCATGGACTCTACAGATGCACTTGCAGCCAAATCTGATTATCTGAGTTTGATCCTCAGAACCTACTTGCTGAGAACCAACTGCTGCTGAACATGTTCCATGACTTCCACATGCATATTAAAAAATGCATGCATGCATGCACACACACACACACACACACACACACACACACACACAAACACAATAAAAACCGATATTAACTAGAAATAGAATGAACGTGAGCTGTTTCACCAAATATCTACAATCAGCACAGAAGAGCGGCTCTGGAGAGCCAGGGAAGTGATCTTAGAAGAGAGGGGAACAAGTGACAGATGAGCCTCTGCCCATGACCTCTCTCTCTCCCTCCGTCCCTCTTACACACACACACACACACACACACACACACACACACACACACACACACACACACACAAATATTATGTCAAATAGACCGAACTAGAGATCATCATATCAAACAAAACCAGACAGACTCAGAAAGATAAATCCCAGGTTTTTCCTCACAAGCAGACTCTAGGCTTCACCTGTATAACCTCACACACGGCATGAAACCGTGAAGGGGCAGACTACTGGGGAAGAAGACAGAGGAAGAGGCAGAGGGAGGCCATGGGGCAGTAGCAGGGTGAGGTCATGAGTGAAGGACAGTGACATGTGTATGAAATGTCATAAGGGAGCCTATTATTTTGTAGGCTAATTAAAAATTTCAAAGTTCAAAATATTACAAGGTAATTTTTAAAAATTGGGATAAGAATAAATTTGTGGGCCATAAATCCACAATGGAGTATTTTTCGTCTTCCTGTTTTGCCCTGCTGGGATTGACCCAGTGCCCTGTACGTGCTAGGGAAGTGTTCTACCCCTGAGCGACAGTCCGCTCCCACCAACTGGGAAAGGGCAGCATCAAATCTACAGCCCATTCACATCCTCATATTCTGTTACAGGACATCTTCAGAGATATGACCGGGCTCAGAGTCCTGAGTGAACAGGGATCGAGTGAACACCGGGGCCCTTACCTGTGGGATGAGACGCAAATACCAGGAGTGCCACACTGGAAAACAAAACAAAACAACATGAAGTGCAGCGAAGCAGCAGGGAAGCCTTCTCCAGCACACCCACACACCCAAAGCTGCATTAAAACCCCATTCCCATCCCATTTTACCAGTTACATTGCCTGAGAGAAAACTGTCTACACTGGACTTTCTGCTTAAACCCAGATCCCATGAGAATGAAAACCTCTCAGAAGGGCTTATGCCTTGGCAAGAGGGCCATGCTTAGGACAAAAAGGGTTTCATGTCCCTCCTTCGTCTATTACTTTCCTTGGCCCTGGTGGGCGCTATTATAGTGTTCATTCAACGTACAATGGTTATTTGAAAGCTAGACAAAGCAAGTTCCAAATTACAAGTAGGTTGCAATCTAAAAACTAGCTGTTGAGTGTGAGCTAAGGATGTTTTTGTCATAAGATGGGCTGTGTAGCTAAGCACTGGGCCGAACTCTGGGAGTCCAGTTGAGGAGAGGGAGGAGGTATTGGACGAGCAAGTGGGGGGGCAGGTTTCAAGATCATGATGGGGAACCCACAGAGACAGCTGGCCTGAGCTAGAGGGAGCTCATGGACTCTGGACCGACAGCTGGGGAGCCTGCATGGGACCGACCTAGGCCCTGCGCATGTGGGTGACAGTTGTGTAGCTTGGTCTGTTTGTGGGGCTCTGAGCAGTGGGATCAGGACCTGTCCCTGGCACTTAAGCTGGCTTTGGGGAACCTATTTCCCATGCTGGAATGCCTTGCCCAGCCTTGATGCAAGGGGAGGAGCTTAGTCCTGCCTCAATTTGATGTGCCATGCTTTGTTGATGCCCATGGGAGGCCTGCCCTTTCTGAACAGGAGATGGAGGAGGAGGAGTGGATGAAATGGGAGTGGGGGGGGGGTAAGATGGGAAGTAGGGGGAGGGAACGAGAAGAAAGGAGGGAGGGGAAACTGTGGTTGGCATGCAAATAAATGAAAAACAAAAATTAATAAAAAAAATGATGAGCTGTATAAAAAGTAGTTAAATTTTCAACTGATTCACAAATCTACTTATCTGCCCACTGCATAGCCAAAAACTACCTAAGCTGATGCTGGATAGAGAGCAAGTGTTGAGGGATGCAGAGGAGGGTGTCTGTAATGCGGGCCATACTCAGTCTTGGCACTGCATCCTTTCTCTGGAAGTCTCCATCTCTGTGTACTCCCACTGTTCCTGAGCCCAGCTGCACAGGGCCGAATCCCACCTTCTGCTGCTGCACTTAGCAAAACTCCAAGTCATCTAGGCAACTGATCCGGTTACAGTGTAGGAATAAGAGTTGCCGTCTAAGCTGGGCGGTGGTGCGCCCCTTTAATTCCAGGGCTTCAAGGGCAGAGGTAAGAGGGTCTCTGTGAGTTCAAGGCCAGCCTGGTCTTCAGAGTGAGTTCCAGGACAGCCAGAACTGTTACACAGAGAAACCCTGTCTCAAAAAACCAACAACAAAACAAAACTTACTGTCCAAGAGCTGGGTTTACATGTACAGGAAGACCTGCTCAGGTCTACCCCCAGGCTGTATCACAGAACAGCCCAGCATGCTGGCTTATAGCAACATCTCCAAGGACAGCATCTGGGCACTTCTGACTTTCCAGACTCTTCCTCTAAAACACAGAGTCAAGCTGAACCCAGGGCTTCCCGATGCTAGCCCAGCACCCTGCTGATGAGCAGCATTTTAAGCCCTATCTTGTGCTTTTGGTTTTTTTTTAATGGGATGTTCTTAGAACAGCAGAGGTGGGAGGAGAAAAGGCTTATAAGAAAGTGGGAGGGATCAAGCCCTGGGTCCCACTATTCAAAAACTTATAGATTGATAATACAGAATTTATATGTGGACACACACACACACACACACACACACACACACACACACACACGGCACTCAGTAAATTTCATCAAGGAGGAGGTTTTAAAGGTCTGCTCTTCACTGGGTATTACATAAAGCACAATTTGTATATTAGCACATTTTTCTCTTTAGTCTTTGTGATTTCTAATCTTAGAACTCTAAGGGGTTTCAAGTCATATTTTTCTTCAGACATATTCTCACCACAAATACATTTAGAGAGGTGATTGAGTCCATTAGGACCCATACTGAGCATCAACTGTATACCAGACTGCTTGTGATCCCAAGATGAGTAGAATATGGTTCTGGTCCCCCAGGAGGGCACAAGTAGGGGGTAAGGCTGGGTTTGTGAAATTGCAAATAGGGATTAGAGAGTCTATTCTGATTTTTTTTTTAACCTAATAAGGTAATCCTGGTAGTATTTAAGGTACCATGGCAGGTCCTAGGAGATACTTTGGGATGGAAAAGGGGTCCCATTATCCTGCCATGGAGCAATAACTCCTGAAATTATAATCAAGTGTGTGTGTGTGCGTGTGTGCACGTGTGTGCGTGTGTGTGCGTGTGTGTGTGTGTGCATGTGTGTGTGTGTGTGCATGTGTGTGTGCGTGTGCGCGTGTGCGTTACTGCAGATTGAACCTAGTGCCTCACACATACGTGGTAAGTACTCTACTGCTGAGCTGTAACTTCATCCCTATTTTTACTGTTGATTTTTAGAGATAAGGTCTCACTAAATTGTCCAGGCTACCCCTGAACTCACTTTGTAGCCCAGGACAGACTTTGAACTTGGGATCACCCTGCATCGGTCTCCTCAGTAGCTGACCATGAGCCTGAGCCATTATGGGCCTGGCCAGGAACTGTTCTAGTATTAGAATGAACAGTAAACGGGACAGAAAGCATCTCAGTGCTCATAGGAATGTCCCAGGAAGGCCTAGGGGACAGTGATCTCGAAACAGTAGCCTGCATGCTTTCTGTCTCACTGAGCCACATCCCAGGGAAGGCCTGTCCCTTTCCCATTGACAGACTTGTGCATAATCTCACCTGGAGAACAAAGAAGTAGAGAATGTGTTAGCAACATCATAGTAATAAATGTTATTTTATACAGTGGGGGAACTTGAGATCAGAAAGAATTTTCAATACAAGGACCTCTCATCTATTACCTAAATTCTCCAAAATGGGCATAGAAGGCGCATCTGTACTTAGAAGTTTCAGTTATTTTTCAGCCCTCTAGTCAACCTTTCCCTCTACTGTGGCCGTATTCATCTATCTGAAATGCAAAAATGGGTTTCCCCCTCCTTATTCCTACACTGCACCTTCTCAGGGGAAGAACCACGTTTTATTTACCTCTGGGTCTCAAGCACAGCAGCATAAGGCACACAGCAGATGCTCAAACTGGGTCCTGATGCAGGTGCCACCTCTGGGTGTGTTGGGAGTGGGAGAGCAAAGAATGAGAGTCAGGAGCAAATGGACTCTCAGTGAAGGGAGAATATCTGCCAAAGACCGAGAACCTTCCACCTAACCCATCTCCCAAATACTGAGAGACCAAAACAAATCTCTACCCTGGCGGGCAGTGCTCCAGGCTGGCCTAGACAGGGACAAACCATAGACTCAGCAGAGTGTGCATTTCTGGACGCTGATTTCCCAGCGTCAAGCAGTAGTGACCAGAAGTCATGAAAAGTGGCTCTCAACAGGCAGTGGTGGTGCATGCCTTTTATCCCAGCACTCAGGAGGCAGAGGCAGGCGGATCTCTCTGAGTTTGAGGCCAGCCTGGGCTACAGAGAAGAGTTCCAGCACAGGCTCCAAAGCTACACAGAGAAACCTTGTCTCAAAAAAACAAAAAGAAAAGAAAAATGGTTCTCATTTTGATTCAAATGTCTTCACCACGTTACTGAACAACAACAACAATAACAAAAAAAAAAATCTGGGGCTGGAGAGATGGTTCAGTGGTTAAGAGCACTGGCTGTTCTTCCAAAGGTCCTGAGTTCAATTCGCAGCAACCACATGGTGGCTCACAGCCATCTGTAATGAGATCTGGTGCCCTCTTCTAGCCTGCAGGGATACATGCAGGCAGAACACTGTATACATAATAAATAAATAAATAAATCTTTAACAAAAATCTGAGCAGAGTTGGGGAGTTACTGGAGTGTGCCACAGCCACAGCCAGGAAGTCCTTAGTACCAGTAAATGTCCTCACACCCGATGGAGGGCAAAGGACAGAGTAAGGAGCTGAGGACCACAGAGGCTCATTTCTCACGTTGCTATATCTTCTGTGCAGAGCTACTTACTGTGACCCAACATCTGAGAAATACTTTTCTTTTCAGTGCTAGGAATTAAACCCAAAGCCTAGTGCATGCTGGTTACTTTACCATTGAACTCTAGCCCTGAGGACCACTTTGAAATACCAAGAACCACTGGCAGTTTTTTTGGAAAAGTATCTTATGTCTGGGGCTTTTTTTTTTGGCTGAGTGTAAAGGTAGCAAACCGTGATGCTTGGAGTGAATTTTACATTCCACACAGTGCTGCAGGGCTGGAGAGCTGGCTCAGTGGTTAGCGTGTGCTGCTCTTGTAGAAGACCCGAGTTCAATTCCTAGCACCCACATCAGGAGGCCCACAAACATCTGTAACTCTAACTCCAGAAGATCGTGCGTCCTCCCCTGGCCTCTGCTAGTATGTGTTCTCATACAAACACATACAACCTAGTTAAAAATCAAAATACTAGCGGGTGTCTCAATAACTGCTGGGCTGAGCACAGCAGGGTCTCTCTCTGAAACGGAGCTGCTGGGAATGTTCGTCTTAAGTAACTCTGTCAGAAGTCGGCACCAAGTGCTCAGGTACGGCCAACCCGGTCCTCTCACTGCAAGTCTGCACGCGAGGCACACTCAGATCCTCAGCGGCAAGTCTCACCTTCTCAGGCAAATCTCTGCATCGGATCGCCTAAGGCGTTAAAGCCTAAGAACCATCCTGAGCGACAGCAGGGTGACCCATCCTCTGCTGGCTGGGGTGAGGGCACACAGGAGTCCATATGCCTTACTTAAAAGGTTATAGGTTAAGCTTCAGACCTGACTAACCACCTTAACAAATACACCATGAAAACAGCCTAAAGTCTAGATCAAAATTTAGAATCCTGAGAGTGTTGGAAGCCTCACATCAGAGGAATTTGGCATCTAGCTCTCTGCTCTGTACCCTGGTCTCTCTCTCTGTCCCTCTCCCTCTCGCTCTCCCGCTCTCCCTCTCTCTCTGTGTGTGTGTGTGTGTTAGAAAGACAGGAGCCAAGACAGGAGCCGATCTCAGGACCACTTGTACAAGGGACGTATAAGTCTAGAAGCTTGTACAGGATGCAGTCTAGAAGCAAAGGTGTGGGTACCCAGAAGGAAGGGTGGGACCCTCTGGAGCTCAAGGCCAGAGAGGCTCCTCTTGTTTGGGCTAAGGACAGGTCAGCCATGTGGATTCTTCAGAGTGTGATCCACTCACAAAATTTAAACTTGCTTTCCTAGCAGGCCAACTTGTTTCAAATTCTCTAATCAAAATATCATTAGAAAATTAAAAACTCATCTCTAAGTAAGATACACAGTATTCTTGAAAAATGTAAATTCTGTCTTACCTGAATATATAGTTTAAATACTGCTGGTCAATGTCACTGAGAAATTAGAAAGAGAAAAAGGTAAGACTCATAAAACAATGGAAAGAATTTTTAAATCTATAAATGGTCATTATACTCTATTAATAAATTCTACCTCCAAGTTACTGATTTCATAAATTATCAAAGGAGAAGGAGCACTTCATATTCGAGATCAATTCTTGTCATTTGACCTGAAATAACTTCTTAAATTTCACACAACTCATTGAACATGGAGAGCTGGTGCCTACGTGGAGACCTCACCTCGTGTTCTCGTCTCTTTGGTGCAGGAAGGGACTCGCCAAACTATGGAGAGAGAAATATGGATACCAACCCAGCCATAAAACTTTGGGCCTACATCTGCCCTGCCTTTAAAATATGCTAGAGCAATCAATGGTGGCACAGAACTCGTGGGAACAGCCAACCAATGTCTGGTTTGACTTAAGGCCCACTCCATAAAAGGGAACCAAACCCAACACTGCTGGGGTAACCAAGAACCAGAGACTAGATAGTCCTAGGTAAACAAATACCTAGAGTAAAACCAAACACTACTGGTCAATAGGTAGGTAGACAGAAAGAAAGAGAGAAAGAAAGAAAGAAGGAAGGAAGGAAGGAAGGAAGGAAGGAAGGAAGGAAGGAAGGAAGGAAGGAAGGAAGGAAGAACTGATTCCTGGTGATACTCTGCTATACTCATGAATCGATGCCTTGTCCAGTCATCATTAGAGAGGCTTCCTCCAGCAGCAGATGGGGACAGATACAGAGACCCACAGCCAGACATTATGCAGAAAGTGTCTAAATTAGAGGTCTCCATCAAATCCCTCCCCTCAGAGCTCAGGAATTCTATGGAAGAGGAGGCAGAAATACTGTAAGAGCCAGAAGGGATGAAGGACAGCAGGAGAACAAGGCCCTCTTAATCAACTATCAAGGTGCATATGAGCTCACAGAGACTGAGGCAGCAAGCACAGGGCCCACACGGGTCTGCAGCAGGTCCTCTCAGTACATATTATAGCTATTAGCTTGGTACTTTCATGAGACTCCTGACTGTGAGATCAAATAGGTCTTTGATTCTGACTCTTGTGCCTGCTTTTGGGACTTTTTCCTTCCTGTTGGGTTGCTGTTTTGATATGAAAGTTTTACTAATTTTATTAATTTATTTACATTTTATTAATTTTTTTTATTTTGTCATGTTTGCTTGTTATCTCTTAGAAGCCTGTTCCTTTCTAATGAGAGAGAGAAAAGGAGTGGATCCAGAGGGGAAGAGCAGAGAAACTATAACCAGGATATAATGTACAAGAAAAGAATCTCATACAATCTTTCAATGAAAGAAAGAAAGAAGGGAGAGAGGGAGGAAGGGAGGGAGGAAGGAAGGAAGGAAGGAAGGAAGGAAGGAAGGAAGGAAGGAAGGAAGGAAGGAAGGAAGAAAATTAGATTACTGACACGATAAAACTGAAAAACAAACAAACAAACCCACAAACAGACAAAACACCCAACTCATTTTAGGATCAAACAAAAAAATATCCTTATTTCAAGTTAGTTATCCAAGTAAGTAAAGAAGAAAGCAGCTCCCTCAAACTAGACGTCAGGTCAGAATGGCGAAGCCCACCGCAGCAGCCGACATGCAGGTGACGGTCAGAGAGGCAGGAAATTCGGGTTCAGTGGCCCCCCTTCTGAACAGTCGCCAGTTAGCGCTAACACACACCTCACCGGGCCAGCGGTTAGCGCTAACACACACCTCACCGGGCCAGCGGTTAGCGCTAACACACACCTCACCGGGCC